ACAGTAATGTCTTAATTGTGATGAAATTAATAAACAGAATCATTGACAAACTGCAGCCTTTGCAAAGTCCAGAACCCGCCGGGAATGACTTTGACATCTTGCCGGCAATGCAAACCAACCATGATTGCTTGTGAGGCCAGATATCTTGCAACAATGGGTCCATATTCATGAGCCACAATGGCCAACAATGGGCCACAGAACACCCTGAGGACTGCAGTTAAAGGCCTTCTCTAGGTCCTGAAATGTTGAACATATAAATTCCTCACTCGACCTGCGAGCAGTCTTTATCCTTCAAGCTCAGATCCTGGCAGCTTGAGGGCCATGCACAGGGGATCTTTGCTGTTGCTAGGACTGCGCACTTCTGGATATAGATGTCAGATGTTTTTCCTGGGATCTGCTGGACCCTTTTCCCCATTTTAGGAATCACTGCCCCGGGTGCTGTGATTACCACTGGGACCCATGTTGCATTTAGATTCCACAACATTCTTATTTAAAGTAAGGCTCCATTTTAAAACAAAAGAAAATAATAAAATTTGAAAATTTTGTCCTTCAAATTAAGTGGCTAACCTCAGAAAAATTAAATGAATTGGGAAAGAATTTAAATTTCCCCTTTTGTGTTTCACATCCTGACTAAACAGTCTCAACCAGTTTTGCAGATAATAAATCTCATCTTAAGTCTTAATAACTATAGAGTAGCAGGGCTCACTTTCTCCCCCCTCTTTTAATCAACTTCCCTACTAACTAAGCTCTCGCTTTTGCTGCCAGGATTTTAAACCTGGGCTTGAATGGAGTCGGGCACATTCTCATTTGCCTATTTCAAGCCTGGACCGATATTTAGTTTTGATTAAGTTCACTGTGCAGAAAACTCACATTTGTGTGTGGAGCCACACATGGTTAAGATGGATAGGGTGACTTTACTCATAATGGAGGAAGTTATCTCAGGGTGCATTTGGAATAAAAAATGGCAGTTTCTAAGGCCCCAGGCATGTAAAGGTTGTTCTACTTCTTTACTCTTTTGTGTACTTCTTTCTTCAATTCAATTCATTCAGTGCCTTCAACACATCAGTTGTTCTTGGAGGTTGGTAACTAATCTCATAGGGTGGGGATGATGATATTCCCCCCATAACACTTTTGCATAACGTTTTTGCAAAATCCGTTTCTGTGAACGGACTTTGCAAAAACAAGTGGAATGTTTCAATAACCATACCATAAAAGGAGTGAAGAAAAAACCTTGTTAGGAATTGTGTAGTAATAAAAAAAGACACTGTGAGTTACCGGAATTTAATTAATTTTGCTTGTATTCCTTGATTCTGTCCTTCTTCGCTGATCTGTTTGAGACAGGGGCAAAAACAGGGAATAAATATTCCATATAGCTAGTAGAAGGAGAAAAAGAGAAAACTAAATAACAAAGAAAAAAAGGCAAAGACTTACGGTGTTGCTAACAGTTTTGTGAAAGTCATTGGTTTCTTGATTGTATTCTTCCTTGAATTCAACATCCATAGTTATTTCAAATGTCTGTGTCACTGGTGTGGTTGTTGTGGTTGTTGTTGTTGTGGTTGTTGTTGTTGTGTTTGGCATTGTTGTTGTTGTTGTTATGTTTGACATTTTTGTTGTTGTTGTTGGTGTTGGCATTGTTGTAGTTGTCACTGATGGTAATGTAGTTGTATTTGGTGTTATACATGGATTGAAAGCTGTGGAGAATAAATTAAGATCCAAGAAAAAAGAAGGAAATTAACACCAGAGAATTCCAACAGAAATAAATGTATTAAAGACATATTTGAATACATCATATTCAGGTCACATAAAAATAATTTACTAAATTCTTACTTGAGATTGGTTCACAAATTTCTCCACCAGGAGGAAGCCTGTTGATGCACCCACAGGTTTTTGAGGTGACATTACTGCATGCACCATAATCGACACACTTGTCACATGACCAAGCAAACTGGTCCTCACACTGACACTGCTGCACTCCCGTAGAGACTGGAGAGCACCCTTTTCAAGACAGTTAAAAGAATGACAAAACAAAGCTCATTCATATAGCACTATATAAAAATAGCGCAAAAATCACATAAATAAGATCAAGTCCTTACATGTGGTGAAGTTCAAGTCTTTTACTGTTAAAAACTCAATTTGAGGAGAGATGACATTTTTCATAACGTCTCTGAGTACAACAGTGATATTTGGGGGCACATTGGTTGCTGAGATGTGCAATTCAACTGCTATATAGAAGACCACTGGTGCTGTGAAGGAGAAAATGAGTGAATGCATCACATGAACCTGTCACAATGATGGGACACAATAAAATGTTGACAACAAGCTCCCATTTCAAAAAAAAAAAAAAAAGCAATTTCCACATGGTCAAAATTCTGTTGGCAGCAATCTACAATTAAATTTACCCCAGCTCTCAGTTACATGAGTCACTTGGCAAACAGATTCATTTTTAGATAATTTAAATAGCTGTATTGTTACAACAAAAGAGATTTGATTTATTTAGATTTTACAGTGCAAGTGATAATCTGGAGCATTGTACATTTCAAATATCATACCATTTGTTGATGTAGGTGTTGTTGTTGATGGTGTTGTGACTGTAAAAAAAGAAGAAGAAAAAAGCAGCAGTTCAGGTTTCAGCATACTTTTAAATATGTATATTTTTTCTTTTCCCACACAGCCAGAGAATCTAACGTACATGCTGCAACACTACATATTATATCTTAAACCCAAGTGTTTGCTTTATGGACATGAAACAGAACACTTAAAATCTTTTCAATCAACATATGAGCAGACATGTTGACACACATATTTATTGACAGTTGAAGTAATTTGGTCTGATATTAACACTGTGTGAGCTTTGACACAAAAGCATTTTAAATTTATACAGTCCTGATCAAAATTTTAAGACCACTTTAAAAATGGCAAAAAATCATATTTTACATGGTTGGGTCTTAACAATGTTCTTCAACGTGCAACAAGAAGAAATGGAAATGAGACAATTCATTTTTTGAGCATGCAATTTATTGAAAACAATGCTTACACTGAAACAGGCTGTTTAACAGCTGATCAAAAGAACAAAAATCAGAGTTCCAAACATGATCTCAGTAATGAGTAGCTCCACTGTTATTGTCGATCACTTCAAAGATTTATTGCAGAATCCTTGATGCAAGCATTTCCAGGAGGTGAGTGGAAACATTTCTCCAAGTGGTGAAGACAGCCGCTCAAAGGACATCTACTGTCTGGAATTGTTGTCCATCTTTTAAACTTCCCTTGCCATCCATGCCCAAAGGTTCTCAATTGGAGGATCTAGATCAGGGGATCACATAGGATGGTCCAAAAAAGACTGATGTTATTCTCCGGAAAGAAGTCCCTTGCCCTTGTGTACTGTAGCGTTGTCCAGTCGTTACCTCACAGACAAGGGCCTCAGTCATCAGGGATGCTCTCTGCAACATCTGGACACAGCCAGGGGCTATGTTTGACACCCCTGCACCTCCTGAGGCTCCATTGTTCCACTGAAGAAAAAGAGCACCCCAGACTATTATGGTGTCACCACTGTGGTGCATAGAAAACATCTGAAGTGGCATCTGCTTGGATTTTTTCTCATCAGAGAATAAAACTTTCTTCCACCTTTCAATGTCCAGTGTTTGGTGCTCTCTTGCAAAGTACAAACAGTCAGTTCTGTGGCGTTCCAGGACAAAAGGCCTTTGAAGATGTTTTTTTTATATTTGAAGACCTTCAGTCTCAGATGCCATCTGATGGTTATGGGTTTGCAGTTGGTACCAGTAACGGCCTGAATTTGAGTCGCGGATCGTCCAGTGTCTTGAGGGACAGCCAATTGGATCCTGTGGCTCACTGCAGGAGAAATTGTTTGTTTCTTCCACTCAACTTTTTTGTTCCATAACCCTCAGAATCATTTAAGAAATTCCAAATGACTGTCCCACCTCAGCAGTGATGGTGCACTGCCAGAGACCCTGCTTATAGTGTTTAGCAACCCAAGCATGTTGAAAAAGGGAAACATTTTTTGCCTTTCCCATCAGAACTTAATGACAGTGTGACTACCTGACAGAAAATGACAGTGAATCCACATTTTTGCAAAGATCTGGCATTTTAAAGGCATGTGGTCCTAAACTTTTCTTAAGTTGTAAAACAGCCTGTTTCAGTTTAAGCGTTGTTTTCAATAAATTCACGTTCAAAAAATGTTTTGTGTCACTTCCGTTTCTTCTTATTGCGTGTTGAAGCTCTACTTGAAATCTTGTTAAGATCCATCCATGCAAAATGTGATTTTTTGAGATTTTTCAAGTGGTCCTAAACTTTTGATTGGGACTGTACATGAATATATAAAAAATAAAAAAAAAACAAAATCAAATAAAATGCAAGTGATGATCAGGCGCTCACAAAAACATTTATGCTTCACATTTCATACATCATACCATATGTTGTAGTAGGCATTGTTATTACTGGTGTTGTGACTGTGAAAACAGAAATAAGCAGCAGTTCAGATTTCAGC